TAATGATTAGTTCAAACTACATAAAGTTAGAGTAGACTTTCAGGAATTAGCTTTAAATAAAAGAATTTAGGATGTAGAGAGATAGAGTCCTAAATGTAAAGACACTCTTTTTCTTTTTTGTATGTATTACATGTCTGCAAGAGATCTGGATTTTAGAGCATGCATTTCCTCATATTTAAAGTTTAAAGCCTTCTTTTCTTCAGTCGCAAAAGATTGCTTGTATGTCAGGATAGCTTGATCAAATACATATATCTACACAAATATGTGTTCTTTTAATAACTTCACAAAGGGAAAATATTCTATTGTAAATCTACCACCAACTATTTGCTTAAATTTGTTATCCTCTAATTTGTTTCACCTTGCTGCCTGCTTTCTGGAAAAAAGAAATAACAATACCTACTATATGTCTTGAATATGCTAATCCATATAATTTGCATAGTGTTCAATCCACTGTGAATAAAGATATATTTCTGTAAAATCTCTAGTGGAATACCTGAGTAATATAGCTAGTCCCTTTCCACTTGGGATAGTATAAAGCACTATTAATAAAGATTTAAGGCATTTTTATTTATTTTCTACCAGAAAAGAGGCCCACAATTATAACTTTAACCATCTTTAATATACAAGAATATAAATAATTATTAAAAATTTTAAAATTATTTTAGTGTTGGCATTTCTTTTTCAGAATGCAAAATATTGTTATAGTATTTCTTGATTATTAAAACTCTTTTTTTAAAAATTATTTTAGAGAGAGGAGGGAGGGAGAGAAACATCAATCAGTTTGCTTCCCATATGTTCCCTGACCAGGAATCAAACCCACCGCCCTTCGGTGTATGGGACAACGCTCCAGCCAACTGAGCCACACTAGTCAGGGCACTTTTTCTTTTTTAATTGACAAAATGATAAATGAGAGAGAAATCCATAAGCAGATAAAAATACAAATAGTGAACTTAATATATGATAAAGTTTACATTTCAAATTGGTGGAAAAGGAAATCACATATAATAAATGGTTCTTGCATAACTAGCTTTTCTTCAAAAGAATATAAAGCTAGTTTCTCTATGTTAATCATATACAAAAATAAATTTCAAAAGTATTGAAGTTATCAAACAAAAGACAAGAACATGAAGATTATTTAGATGGCTTTGAGGGTGAAAGAATATTTTCTTGGCAAAATGAGAAACAGAGAGAGAGAGAGAGAAACAGAGAGAGAGAGAGAGACAGACACTGCCAGGTTTGATCAAATACAAATTTTTATATCACCAAAGATACAATACCATAAAAAGTATAAAAATGTTAGTGAGAAACTGTCAGAATATATTTATTCCACAATATGACAAAGGGTTAATTTCTATGTTTTACAAATAGCACCTACAAATTGATTTTTTAAAAAGATAAATGGAAAAGGGGCAGGGGATATAACAGGCAGACACGGAGGAAGAAATTCCAGGTTTTTGTAAAATTAAGAGAAATGCATCCAGTGGTGACAGAAATAGGTTACCGGAAGTTTGAATTTCTTAAAACTTTTGAAAAGTAATCAAGGATGTAGTAGATAAGTCTACAAATTAGGCCATCATTGATCCCTCCCTTTCTTGTCAATCTTGCCTGGCCTTGAACCTTGTTTTCACCATGAATATGGAAGAAGTGACCTTTGCCTAGCCTTTAAAAAACTGGAATCTTTGCCCTGGCTGGGTGGCTCAGTTGTTTAGAGCATCATCCCATACACCAAAAGGTCACAGATTCAATTTCCAATCAGGGCACATTCTTATGGTAGGGGTTTGATTCCTAGTAGGGATGCATGTGGAAGGCAATTATTGATGTTTCTCACATTCCCATCTCTCTCTCTAAAAGAAAAATACTATATCCTTGGGTGAGGATTTAAAAAAAAAAAAGACTGGCACCTTCTATTTTTTCCTTATGTGAAGCCAGCTTTTATGAAAGAGGAATGACTCTCTCAAGACCATAATGTGACAACCCAAGCTACCCACGTGGAGGGAGAAAGAGTTGAGGAGTGCCAAGGCACCAGACATGTGACTGAACCTTCTCAGGCCATCCAGTTTAGCATAGTTGCCCACTGAATGAAGCTGAGTCAACTCAGCCAACAAAACCCTGCCTTATTTCCTGACCACAAAATTGTGAGGAAATAATAAATCATTGTGGTAGGCCACTAAGTTTTATGGTGGTTTGTTACACAACAATATATAACCAAAGCATAGGAGTATCTATTCAAGTAAAAGAAAAAGCATACTTTTGACCCAGCAATCCTATTGAATAGATTTTGGTACATCCATATCACGGAATGTTGATAACATTAACAAGAATTAGTTGAACTCTAGAGATAGTCATGACATACTGTTAAATAAAATGCAAATTGCAAAACAATATGTATACTATAATCTCATTTTAAAAGATTAAAACATATATATGAGTAAATGCTCTTATGTTTTTATGAATTTACAAAAAATGTAGATATTTGTAAAACTATTAACATTGACTTCTTATAGGAATAAGCATAGGGTGACTTTGGGTAGATAGGGCTATAGACCTTATTTTTATGTACTTGTGCTATTGAGTTGTTGCAAGCAACAAATATATTTTTTTGTTGTTTGAAAGAAAAATCCAATAAAATTTTTAAATAAAAGAAATCAAAGAAATTCAAATATTCTTGTTGTAAAAAGAAAAAAAATTAAACTTTACAGAAGTATATAAACCAGAAAGGGAAATCATTGGGTAATCTTAGTTTTTAAAAAAATATTTCTATTGATTTCAGAGAGGAAGGGAGAGGGAAAGAGAGAGAGAATCATTGATCAGCTGCCTCTTGCATACCCCACACTGGGGATTGAGCCCACAACCTGGGCATGTGCCTCTGACTGGAAATGAACCTGGGACCCTTCAGTTTGCAAGCCGATGCTCCATCCACCGAGGAAACCAGCTAAGGCTGGGTAATCTTCTTAATCCAGGTTAGAGTAATTTGCCTTATTAACTCAACAATATATCAAGGGCATCTTTCTGTGAGTAAAAATAGATCCAAATAATTCTTTACCCCCTTCCTTTCTTTTTTCCCCTGCTGACCCTTTTTAATGGCTTCAAAATATTCTATTGTTTGGATGTATTATAATTTATTTAGTTAAGTTCTTATTGTTAGAATTCACATTATTTCTACTTTTTCTGGTTTTAAAAATAATGGTTATTCTTGTAATATATCGTCACCTACTTGTTTTAGAAGTGAACTTGTTGATATACATATTGCTAGCATGCCTTCTACAAAAACTGTAGTAGTTTATAATTCCCACTAACAGTTTATGACAGGAGCAAAAATTATTGTCTAACGTGTTATCTAACCATTCTTCACAAAAACAGCCAAAAAGAATTTGCTAGTTTAGCAATTAGCACATGTTTTCATGTTGCTTGGCTGTACAATGGGACGTGGGTAGAACTAGAGTTATTGTGCATTCAGACCACCAACTGGGTGGGAAGGTCACAGGAGGTTGGCCTAGAAGTGAGAAAATGAGGAAAGCAAGTCTTTTGCATGGAGATTAAAGAGGAAATCAACTGAAGCAGATTTTCTCCAATGTGCCAGGCTGAATGACTTGCAGTGCCATCTGCTGGCAAAGAAGCCCAAAACTTTCAATTTACATGCTGGGTGGGAATCAAGTTTGTCTTCTAAGCGGGACTAAATCAAAGACCCACAGGAGAACCCAAAGATGGTCTTGGTGTTGGTGTGTTCAGAAAGGAATGAAGGAAAAGGAGACAGATTTATTTTAAATAAAGATCTAAATCATTTGATCTTTGGGGGTCTCTGGCAAAATCAGTAGTGTCTCCAAGCTACATACAATTTGTGTACAACAGATACACCTTGGAGTTGTACCATCCTTCTTCAGCTTCAAGTTTGTAATTTCCAGTATCTGGGGATAAGTCACTTCAGTTGTAGGAATACAGGACAACACCCTTATTAGGAAATATGTTGCTATCTTAGAAAGTCCTGCAATGAAGAAAGGTACTTAGACTACCACCCCTTTCAATATACTGACAATGAATTTATACACACATTAGATGTATAGGTATAGAATATCACATTATAACTTAAATTTTTTTTGAGACTTAAAATTATTATACATTCTTGTTTTAATCATCTAAAACATACTAGAAAAAGGCTTGCTTTTTAAAGCAAAATTACTTTTTAAAAATGTGGCATCTCACCCAGCTGGTGTGGCTTAGTTGATTGAGCCTTCACTTATGAATCAGTTTAGTGGAGGGGGGTGGAACACATGCAGGAGGCAATTGATAATGAGTCTCTCATCATTGATCACTCTCCCTTCCTCTCTGAAATCAGTAAAAAAAAAAAAAAAAAAAAAAAAAAATTTTTTTAATGTGTTAGTTTTAAGTAAATAAAAGTCTTCAAGTTAAAACATTATTATTGCCGAAACCGGTTTGGCTCAATGGATAGAGCGTCGGCTTGGGGACTGAAAGGTCCCGGGTTCGATTCCGGTCAAGGGCATGTATCTTGGTTGCAGGCATACTCCCAGTAGGGGGTGTACAAGAGGCAGCTGATTAATGACTCTCTCTTATCGATGTTTCTAACTCTCTTATCTCTCTCCCTTCCAAACTGTACAAAATCAATAAATAATGTTTTTTAAAAAAAAACATTATTATTGCAGTGTCTTATGTCTGGGACAAATTTATGGTACGCTTTATTTCATATCAACTTCTGCCACACTACTTCAAACTACACACTCCTGTTTTTCCTTGTTGTTTTTTGTAGTATTATTTTATTTGATAGAATTTCCAGAACCAGGGTCTCTACTGGACAAGTAGAGAAACAGAAAACTATACTACGGAAAGGCAACTATGACAAATAAATATACTCTTAAAGGGGCTCCTTGGACTTGAGAAAATGCAGAGTTTACCCTGGGCAGTGTAGCCCACATCAGAAAGGAACTGGTGTCCCCACATTTTGAGATCCGTGTTTTCCTCCCTAGCTGGGGCTGCCCGCTGCTCTGCTAGCAGGCTGGGTCCTGGAACCTGAAGCAATCACTGGCTATCGCCCACCCCGTGTTGCTAGGAGAGGCCTGGGCAGTCAGAATGAAGTTCTGGTTGAAGTCCCGTTGTTTGTTGCCTTCAGACTTCACCATTCTCCAGATCACAACGAGGACTGTGGTCTGGCTCGGGGTGGCTTCCCTACGTACAGGCTGGCAATCAACCACACTGATCTGGAACTCACTGGAAGGCAACATTTCAAAAACCGCACTCCAGGACTCTAGTCCTGACAGGGCGTTTCCATTCCGCACCAGGATGGCTGAGCCCAGGTAGAGGCGGGGCGGCAGGCGCCTCCGCTTATCCACGGTGGTGCAGTAGACGTTGACAAACTGCTCGGCAGCCCTGCAGGCTGGATCCACGTAGGACTCGAAGTCTACGCACGCCATCTCTGGCTCTCCCAGGAGGCCTCCACCCAGGTGCTTCCTGCACCCGAGGGAGCCAGGACTGCGCCGGCCAAGGCCGGGGTCGGCGTGGGCGGTGGCGGCAGCCCTCTTTCGGCGCCCCCCGTGGCGGACCACAGCTCCTCGGAGAACCGGCCCCATGAGGTCGCGGGGCAAGCCTGCGGGGCCTCCGCCACCCTCTGCTGCTCGCCAGCGAGGAGGCCCGGTTTTTCCTTTTCATTTTTCCTGCTCTCTTAACCAGTCCCGCCTGCAGTGGCCTGGCCCCGCCCAGTCATGGCCCCGCCCAGCCATGGGCCTGCCCAGCCGTGGCCCCGCCCAGCCGTGGCCCCGCCCCTGACCACCTCCAGTCCCGCCCCTCTGCGCCTCTCGGAGCCGCTCTTTCCCAGCCACCTCCACTGCGCGCTTGCTTCAGTGCGCTGACGTCACACGCCAGCGCCAGTGACGCGCCGACCACACCCCCTTGTGCATTCGCTCCAGGCTTTAAGGGGCGGCGGGCTGCAGTCTTCAGCCCGGGGTCCCCAGCACTTCCCTGCAAAACCCCCCACCCCGGGATCTAGCGCGGGCGTTGCGGGGCCGGAGGGCGTGGCAGGCAGGTAGCCTCCCAGCCCCGAAGGCCGCCCGTCCCCACCCCGCTGCGGCCCCCGGCCGGCCGCCGCCTGTGAAGTTGGAGAGGCGGTCTCCGCGGCACTGCACTCCCCCGCTGCCGCCCCGCCGTTTCCAAGGGCTCAGGAACCAGTTTGTTTCCTCCGTCCCGGCAGTGTGTACCCGTCTCGCAGGGCGTTGCCCGAGTTGGGGCCGCGTCCAGCCCGAGCGGTCAGGCGGGGCGCTGGCCAGGTGTGGGAGGCTCAGGGCCCCTTCACAGTGGGCTGCCAGCGGCTGTTAGAGCCTCGGTTTGTCTTTCAGGATGTCATTTTCGAAATGCGGGATGACGCCTCCGCCTCATTAGGTCCCCCAGGAAGATTGCTACACCCAGACTTTTGCTAATAGATCATCACCGTTATCCCTACTAACGTCCTGAGTCGTTGAGGTGAGTTTTACTTGGGGGAGGCAAAGAGTGGTATGCAAAGTGGCACAATCAGGTTGGGAACGAAGAAACCTTGTTTAATGTAGATATTGCTTATGGATACCATAAGTGCACGGAAAAGTAATAACCCTTATCTCATTAGAATGTTAATTCTCTAAGGAGCAATATGTACTGCCAAGCAGTCATTGGACATTGTTTAAGCAAAAATCTATTAAAGTAATAGGGATCTTAGGATGGATAAGCAGTCATTTACAGGTTTACAGGTTGTCTCCAATCTTAAGTTACACATAAATTTAATTAGAAAGTGAGGAGCAACTGGTTGGCCTGTAATTTTATATTTCGGTTTCCATAGTTTGAAGAAATTTCTATATGTAAGGCATTAAGAGTTCTACTTTCAGAGTCCATGACTCATTTCTTATAAATATTCAGGCCTAATTTTTACTCTCTTAAGATCAAGAAGCAGAAAAATTATTGCCACTCTACGTTACATCAGATATTTATGAAGGATTAAGAGTAATATCCAATATAAAGTAATAATAGCCTTTTCTTATGATGCAGCAGTATTGTAGAGATGATGGAGGGAAGCCAGATATGGAGAGAAGCAGTCCGTTGTTTTAGTTTAGATTTGTCTGGTGTGAGAAGATCCACAGATCTTCATTTAAAATTGCCCGTTGTTCTGGGTGAAAGGTAAGGAGCCTGTTTTGTGGGGAAACAGGTTTTTGCACAGTAAAAGTCACCATTAGTTTAGTAAGGTTTATGGAACTTGGCCACACGAGTTCTTTTGAAGTCATTTTAATAATACATTGACATTGAATTCCAAGTAAATTTTACTAACCTACCTCCTAAGTCATGATCATGACCCCATTTCATGAATGTAAATTATTTACATGTTGGTAGTTTCCACCAGGAAAGCCATTTATTGTTGCCTGAATAGACTTACAGAGAAGAAAAAAAAAATTTTTGGGGGGGGGGGGGGGAAGGAGGGAGGAGAAGACTAGTAGGAATCTTTTTTTTGCTTCTGCTTTTTTGAGTAACGAAAAATAAGGGAGAAACTTTCCTTACTGAGAAGATAAATTGGCCATCTCCCATAATCCCAAATGGTAGTTGTTACTTTGGGAGAATTATATGTATGGATTGTAGCTGCGGACTGCACCTTAAGTGATCTATTGACATTCCTTTACCAAGGAATGTTTCCCTTTAGGACATCCTGTCCATCATAAAGCTGAAATGACTTAATGTTTGAGATGGGTGGGGCTAAAGTTTTTCATTCATATACTCTGACATTTTTCATATTTCATGCAAATAACTATTGTGTCAAACATTGCTTATTTATGGCTTAAAGAAATTTTTAGTAAAATGAGAGAAAAAATGTCTAATTTGACTAGAGGCAAGATATTTTGAGGGGACAGGGAAGAGAGCATAGTTGACATACTTGAAAAGAAGAATGATACCATATAGGAAAACGTTGGATGTCAGGATTAGAAGTTTGGAAATAGAGAATTGTTCAAGGATTTTAACTAGAAATACTGATTTAAGTAACATTCTTCCTACTTCCTATCAGTAGTTATTATTCTTCAATTTAATATATTATTTTGAATTGATAAAACATTTATATAGTTTAAAAAATTTTCTCAACTACTCAGTTTGGCCCTCTCCCATAATCCCAAATGGTAGTTATTATATGGGTTTGATTCCAGACCCCAGCAACTACTCAGTTTTTGGCAGCCAATATTACCAGTTTATTTTGTATCTCTTCAGATATTGGACATTGTTCTTAATTTCAGATATGTTACTTCTAGAATGTTTATTTAATTAAAAAAAACCATAGCTATTAAAATCCCCTACTGATAACTCCACAGTTGAGTCATTTTCTTTTCTTTTTTTTTTTTTTTAATATATTTTATTGATTTTGTACAGAGAGGAAGGGAGAGAGAGAGTTAGAAACATCGATGAGAGAGTCATCGATCAGCTGCCTCTTGCACACTCCCTACTGGGGATATGCCCGCAACCAAGGCACATGCCCTCGACCGGAATCGAACCCAGGACCCTTCAGTCCCCAAGCCGACGCTCTACCCACTGAGCCAAACCGGTTTCGGCCAGTTGAGTCATTTTCAAGTCTATGGTGTGAATTCTTTTGTTTTGGTTGTTTATCTTTCTTTTTTTAGTTTGTTTCTTTGTTTTTTAACATGCTTCATAATTACTGACTGGATGCTAGAACTTGTGAATGAAACATCTTAGAATTTCTGGAACATTTATCCTTCCAAAATTGTTGTTTTGTTCTGGCAAGCTGATGGGATTATCAGCTGATAACCTTGATCCTGTTGAGAATTGGTTTTAGTTTTGTTAGGATTAGCTTGTTTTATTCTTGCCCTGTGGGTGAACAATTTAGGAATGGGCTAACTGACAAGAGAGGAATTTACATGCAGGTTTTTATTTATTTTTAAAATATATTTTTATTGATTTCAGAAAGGAAGCGGGAGGGAGAGAGAAACATCAGTAAGAGAATCATTGATGGGCTGCCAGATGGAGCCCACAATCTGGGCATGTGTCCTTGACCGGAATCGAACCCAGGACCCTTCAGTCCACGGGCTGATTGCTTTATCCACTGAGCCAAACCAGCTAGGGCTTTGTAGATTTTTAGACTTTAGAGCTACTCAGTTTTTTCCTCTCCTCTCCAGGATTTCGGCAGCCCTAAACCACTCTCTACACTCAGCCCATTAAGACTGCAGCTTTCTACTTAAGCTCCATTCTGCTTGCCACAATTTGAAAAATGACTTCAGGAAAAAGGCTGGGGTAAATATGGTAATATATTCCTACCTTTCAATGATTATAGCCCCTCAACTTCTATCTGTTGTTTTATATATTTTACTAAGTGTTTATGATTGTTTTGGGAGGTGGGATGGTCTGTTAAGAGTTTCACCATCATGGTTGGAACAGTGTGTCACCATTTCCTAAGTAGACATTCACTTAATCTCCCAGATTGTACAGGTATTCCTCAGAGATATTATCAGTTTGATTCCTCTCCTTCTCCCCTCTTGCCCCCCTCCACTGGGATCCAATCCTGCCCCAGGCTTTTGCTACCTTATTTATTGTCTGCGTCCATGGATAATGCATGTATGCATATAAATTCTTTGGTTAATCTCTTCCACCCATCTCTCCCTGCTTCCCTCTGAGATTCATCATTTGGTTCCATTTTTCCATGGCAATAAAGAGAGTCATAATTTTTTTTTCTGATAGTGGGTCTTCATTTTGTTAAAAAAAAATTTTTAAAAAGGCAACATTTGTGAAGCACAATAAAGTGAAGCACAACAAAATGTGTGCGCTTGTATATGGCATTTCCATTCTCATCTGTGTCAGCATTTCCAATCTAGAGAAATCTCTAGTCTCCTTTGGAGCTGAGAGAGGGGTAATCTCTTGATTGGGAGAGGAGGACGAGGCAAACTGTGTGTCTGACTGCTTCTGACACAAGTCACCCAATCTTGTTTTAGTTCTAATATTATCCTCACTCTCAGAGGCCCCTGATGCTTCCAATTATTGAGCTAGTCTGTAGTGGGAATTGAGTTATTTCCCACCGCTGGCTTGGTATACAGCTTTCTTTAGTCTCCCAAGCCAGTTGCTGCTTGTTTTTGTGTTTATCAGCTTCCAGAATTTTGTTGCGATTGCTTTCTTTTCTCCTCTGCCTTTCTTATCCCTTCAAAGTTGGGTTAGGTTTGAGGAAGAAGTAGAAGTAAATAAGTACATTCATTTGATATATTTAACTATAAGTTGCAGTTTATTTTTTGACTTTTTAAAGATTAAGGCTAAAATAATGACTTGTGGCTTCTTTATAGTTTTCTAAAGAAAAGACTTGGCCTATATCTTTCTGTTATTTCTACTCTTTGTGGCTAAGAGTACAATTCTAAACAGTGTTGCAGTTTCCAGTTTTCTGACCCACTTGGCTCTTTTATTTTCTTCTCCTTGAGTCTCAGATTGTTATAGTTGTAGGGCCCTTAAGATAGCATTATGTTGAACTGATCAGTGTTTTTAAATGAAGTATTCAAGGCTCAGAAAAGTCAGGTGGTTTGCTTTTGTTCACGTAGCTTTTATTTTCCAAATCCTTTGCTTTGTTTGTTGTATC